TATTGCTTAGAATTTGCAGTGCTCTTGCCATGTAAGAACCTGTGACTTTCTTCAGCTGTAGAATACTATCAGGGAATATTGGTTACCTCACTGGATTCCCATGTAGTCAACTGCAGTTCGAGTCTTGGACCTGGCAGCTTAAAACTCACACCAGGGACATGTATGTGTGTGCCAAAATCCCAAGAGAAGAATGGAAGAGAAAGGATTGTGGTTTGGCCACCCCCCATGGAGAGTAATTTCTCAGTTTCTGTCTCTGATGAGCACACATGTCCTATAGCAAAAATCTCTCTAAGAAAAAGGGAAAAAAAGAATACTATCAACTCAAATCTTTGACTACATCTTCTTCATCACTGCCTATATTAACTTCTGGAATTGCTGTTAGATATATTTTAGAGTCCCTTGATATATTTTCCTGGCTTCCTAACCACTCCTTAATACACTGTATTGCTTTATATTTTTGTGTTCATTCTTTCTCAATTCTTTAGTAACATCTTTGGTAATGATCATGCTATCTGTGTTTTATATAGATTGTACACTTTCTATGGAGTTTTAAAAATTAATTAATTTTTTATTGTCAAGTAGTTCTTTTCATGTTTATTCTTTTCCTTCTTTCTTTTTTTTTTTGTTTGTCATAGCATGAGTACACTCTCCAGAGAGAGAGGGAAACTAATGAATCACCCCCTAGAGGGAATGGCCACACCACAGTCCATTCTCCTCTATTCTCTTCTCAGGATTTTGTGCATGCATGCACACACACACACACACACACACACACACACAAATACACACACACACACACACACAAATATACACACACACACACACACGTTTGGCGTGTTTTTTAAGCTGCTGGGTCTGGGACTTGAACCATGCAGTCAGCCATGTGGAATCCAGCTATCTTAACCTCCACAACACCTCCTGACCCATTTTCTTGTTTCGTTTCTGTGTTTCAACTTTCTTTTTCTATTGATCTAATTAATTTTTCAAAAATTTATAAACATATTTTAAAGTCTTCTTTGGACACTTTTTCATTTTCATTTTGCATGGGAAAAATTCATGTACTATCAACTTCATTGTCTTCCTTTTTATAAAAAGTTTATTATTTCTTTTATTAAAAGAGAGAGGGAAACTAATGAATCACCCCCTAGAGGGAATGGCCACACCACAGTCCATTCTCCTCTATTCTCTTCTCAGGATTTTGGGCATGCATGCACACACACACACACACACACACACACACACACACACACACACACACACACACACACAAATACACACACACACACACACACAAATATACACACACACACACACACGTTTGGCGTGTTTTTTAAGCTGCTGGGTCTGGGACTTGAACCATGCAGTCAGCCATGTGGAATCCAGCTATCTTAACCTCCACAACACCTCCTGACCCATTTTCTTGTTTCGTTTCTGTGTTTCAACTTTCTTTTTCTATTGATCTAATTAATTTTTCAAAAATTTATAAACATATTTTAAAGTCTTCTTTGGACACTTTTTCATTTTCATTTTGCATGGGAAAAATTCATGTACTATCAACTTCATTGTCTTCCTTTTTATAAAAAGTTTATTTATTTCTTTAATGAAAGAGAGAGAATGCAAGAGAGAAAGAGAGAGCAACAGAAAGATATCTTCAACAGGGTCTTGGCATGCTGCAATCCTCCCCACCCTGCTCCAGTCTTCCAGAGAGCCAAGATTACGGGTTATGTTCAGGTCAACTTGGAATCTAAACCCCAAGTCCCCCATGTAACTGTATCCCACAATGGATCTGTGAATGGTTTGGGAGTAGATATTGCCCACTTTTCTTGAGTAATAGCCTCTCCCATGAGCATGATGTGATAACTCTACAGGTGCTTCCAGTCAGCACTTGAAAGGAGCACACACCAGAGCCAGGTCTGGTGGCTTAGATGCCTTCCTGAAGAGTCAGTGTGCTGTGTGGCTCAGCATGAGGCTGTTTATGTATTTCTGCCTCTCTAAATTCAAACTCTGCTTGAGCTCTAGCCAGCAGGAGCAGCAGGAGCAGCAGGAGCAGCAACTTTTCTGTCTCCTTTAGCCAGTGGTAGAACTTCAACGTTTCTTTCTGAAGCAGCAAACTTGGCTCAGTCCCCTGTCTTAGATACATGCGTGTAAACTATGCATGCTATAGGACCTACATTTCTAGTTACCCTGTTCTGCTTCTCCAGGTTAGCAGAAAGTCAGATTCATTCTTACTTACCATAATGCATTTCTGTCCCATTTCTAATCTTGAAAGTATGAAATTTCCAGTTCATTGCATGAGCCAGAAATGTCTGGGTGTGACCTCTCACCGAGGTCAGGCTGGCTTCCCCACCACACAATGACATTTACTTCGTGTGTCCTACGTAAGTGAACATTCTGTCACTCGAAGATTCTTTGTAAGACCGAAAGCTCTTCTTTAGAAACAGAGCCACCAAGTCACTTCTTCTGAGGCATGTTTTTAGGCTTCCTTTCTTCTGACCTATGATTCAAATAGCCTGAAAACAATACATCTAACGGGGTAGCTGGGAGAACTAGTTTTTAATCTACTTCTGTTATTTACCAGATTTGTATGTAGTCCATGGAGAATATTCTGTTTATTAAATATTTTATTATCTGTAACAGTTTAGGGATGTGATCAAAATTAAATAGCATATTATCTATGAAAGCACAAATAAAAATATTATTAGGTCGTCAGGGAAGTCATGATGTATTTTTCCATTTTTTCTAAGCAAAATAAAATGCCATATACATGTTTAGCTGAAAACACTGGAAATGTATCTGTTACCAATTCAATGTGTGACAGGGGAGGGTTATTTCAGGGAGCCATCCTTTAATGTAATCCATTCAGCCAAAATGTGTGAAGCAGCTGCTGTACACCAGGCACCGAGTTAGGTCCAGTGAAGTAATGTGGACCAGTGTGGTTAAGTCTCACATGTGCTTTTATTCTCTTTCAACTGTGGAATTTAGATTTGTCCAAATATGAAGTTTTAATGTCAACCACATAGGCACAAAAAGACTCTGAGGAAAATAAGGAAGCTCAGTTATAGGCCAAAAGCTTGTAGTCAATTTGACACTTCTGCTTTTTATGCCAGTATTTTCTTCATTTACTTGACAATGTACTTAGATGATTGAACCAGATCAACAAATTAGATATTGTAAAAATTTTCTTTTGGGGCCAGCAGATGGCATGGTGGTTAAGGCACTTGACTCCTACATGGTTAACAGTGGTTCGAGTCCCAGACCCGGAGGCTTGAAACTCATGCTACACAGGTATGTGTGTGTGCCCAAAATCCAGAGAAGAGAGTGGAGGAGAAGGATTGTAGCATTGCCATCCTCTTTGGAGGATGATAGCTCACTTTCTCTCCATCTCTCTCTTCTCTGATGAACACATATGCCCTATGGCAAAAATCTCTCCCCTTCTCCCAAAAGAAAAGTTTTAGTTTTATAAAAATTAACTATTTGACAAGACTTGACTTTTTAGATAGTGAATGTACAAATGTATCTTCCTCTTTTTTTCTTCCTCTTCTTTCTATGTTTAGTTTGACTGTCTACCTACCCTTGTATTCTTCTACTCAGCTCTATCCCCTATAGGAGATCATTTTTATTTTTTTAAGAAAGAAGAAAAGGCTTGATATATATGCCAGGTCCTTGCGAGTCCTTATTTCTGACCTTTACATTACCTCAGGTTTACACAGGTAATGAAAGATGTGCTTAGGATAGTCTAGTAGTCCTCTAGCTATTCTAAACTCTATTATAGTATACAAAGAAGAAATTAACTGAGACATGCATTTTTTTTTTTTTTACTGTGATTTTTTGCTTGTATATTATATGGGCAGCCATAAGGATTGCTGTTAAAGGTTACTATTATCAAGATTTAGAAAATCCTGTCCAGGGATCACTCAGGCCCAGAAGACTTAAAAATAAACCATGTTCTCTTTAAGCATTCAATAATGTTCATGTAATTTTGTTATTCTCGTCTTAGGCCTTCTCCAAAATTTGCTTTTGTCCTTTCTTTCAGTTTTCATCTACTCCTTCCCAGTTGCAGATCCATAAAACTGTTTTCAACTAGGCAGTCTTTTCTTTTGCATGTGTCCATAGGCAAACCTGAACTGTGTCCACTTGCTTGACTTGCTATGGAGATCTGAAATGGCAAAGCAAGGGATAGAGCAGAGAACAAGGAACAGCAGGGAGCATGAGCCTCTGACTGTCTTGTCAGTGTCTCCTGTCATTTGTTTTCAATTTCCATTGCCTGAGCCCTTCTATGGTCTACGGCAGGCTTTGTGTGTTGGTTGTCTTGACAGCCACTTCACGCTACTGCAGGTCATTATTTGTGTACTGAGGCAGCCAAGGAAGGAAGCAGTTAAGAATTTAGGAGGTCTAACAGTGTTCTAAATTTAGTCTTTCAAGGATGCATTTCAATACATATCTGCTTTCTGGTTTTTTTTTTTTTTGGTGTGGAAAATGAATGGTTCAGCATAAAAGGCTGTTTCAGTGACACAGGCATATAGGTTGTTGATGATAGTTACTGAGTATTTACTAAATTCTAGTCACTGTCCTAAACATTCTACATCTATTAAGTCATTTAATCCTCATGAGTATTCTAGAATTTAGGGTCTATTATTGTCTTCATCCTGAGGAAGGGTGAATCCTAGGGTATAAATTTTTGCCTGAACAGCTAGTAAGTTCTTATAAACTACAATCTGGTTATATATATATATATATTTTTTTTTTAAGGTACTTTTTTTGTTTATCTTGTTTTTTTGAAAGAAAACTTGTTGGATGCTACTTAGATTATTCTTGTCAAAGTAGTATTTCCAATATCTTCCTTTTATTCAGCACAAATCTTTTAAATGAGTAGGAAGGGTTGAAAGTGCTGGAAAGAAAAGGAAAAATTTGATTACAAATTTTAACTCCTAGCCTTAAATTGCCATCTTGACTGGGGTTTCCTACTAATTAGCACTTTTTTTTTTTCTTCTTTCTCACAGCAAACCTTGAAGAAAAAATGTGTGGAGTTCAGATCTCTGCAATTACAGGAACAGCGCCTGCTTCACGGTAAATGTGACTTCCTGTTCTGAAACCACACTAACATTTCATCCTTTCAGTATTTCTGCCTCTCAGTTGTTCTAAGACTGTCCTTATTATAAGAAAAATTTGTCTTGTACTGATCAAGAATACTTGACTGGTTCTTTGTATGAACTTCGGAGTGAACTATGTATTTGGAGGAAGGGTATGTCAAGTCACATCTCTTCTCCATATGCATGACACACATGAACATGAAAACATGAACGCACCTGTAAATGCATCTGGAGATTTTAGAAGAGTACTAGGAAAGATTGTCTGATTTTCTCACCACTTCAGCAAAGGATGAAAATGATCATGACTCATAGTCTGGGCAGTTCTCAGAAACTATTGCGCTGGAATGGTCGCATGTTTCTTGAGTAGAGCTACTATCATATTTTTTTCAGATTGTGCATGTTCCATTTATGCAGAGAAATTCTTTTCCATGACTCTAAGACTGAGACATAAATGTGTAAGATTATTAAAACAGTAAATGCATCACTTGCCTTTGCATACATTCTGAAGGAAATAATTGAGTGTAAAATTTGTTGATTTGCCACATGCTAGGTTACTAATGTAATCTGAAGAATGAACTTTTATATACAAAGAGTTCACCAAAGGCACTACCTATGTGGGCGTGAAATATAGGTTATATCTTTCTTTGATAGCGCCAAGCTAAAAAGCCCTATTTACAACCCAGAATATCTGTGAAAAGTGGTAATTCATTTGTTTACAGAAAAATATACAATTTAATCCTTAATTAGGCACTAATTTATAGCTAAGAGATTTGGGTTGAAGTTCTGTTTTCTTTAAAAAAATAGAAATCTTTGAAACTTATGCATGAGTTACTTCTCTTTTTTATGTTATCATATAATAGTTTAAAATACTCATAATAGATTTTCTGTGATCTAACTTTTTCTAGAGAGACAGACACACTAAGACTTCTTTGCAGCCCTGTTAACTCAGTGACATCAGAGATTTCTGGAGATAGAAGGGTGTTTTAGAAACTTTCGTCTCACTTCTAGAGCCTGAATATCTCAGGAAATGTAGTCTGTCCTGAAGTTTTATAGAAACAGCTTTGTTATGAACAAGATCTTTAGGTCTAGATTTTTACAACGTCATTGTTGTATACAAGTTTTGAGCGAGCAAGGGAGGTCTTTACTTTTTCTAGACCAAGAGTAAATACCCAGGGCATGAAATTCTATGAGGCAATTTGCTCTCTAATCAAATGAACTCTGTTAGCTCGTAGCAAAATGAAATAAAGTAGGTTGCACTAGCAAAAGAAGTAAGCCTTATGCTTAGTCATTGCAGGGTTGGTTATACTCAACCTTGCAAATTATGAGGAAAAACAGTCTCTTTTTATACTGTCAATTAGAGACAAAGAAGATCAGTACTCTCTTTTAACAGCATGCCAAATAGTGTAGAAACAGGTGCAGTATGGACAGGATGTTGGTGGATGATTAACATTTGAGTTTAGAGAGGCCAGATACAGGTTAGGAGGGTTTGTCTAGGCAGATAAAATTTAATTTCCTCAACTAAATGATAACTTATTTGAAGACAGGGTTGCTTTCTGGATCCAGTACAACTCCAGAGCATTTAAGTATTCCAAGATAAAATTTAGAATATTGAGGTTGGAAGATATGTATCAATATTTGATGTTACAAATAAATTATGTTATAAACACCTTGAATTCTCTGTTTTATTACTGTGTCTGATGGGACCAGCATACGGCATAATGGTTATGTTGCTGGACTCCCACACAGTCAACCACAGTTTGAGTCCCGGACCTGGTGACTTAAAAATTCACTCCATGTGCATGTGCGTGCATCCCCCAAATCCTGAGAGGTGTACAGAGGAGAAGGAATTGTGGCATGACCCTTGGCGGGGTGATTTCTCACTTTCTGTCTCTCTGTCTTTCTGGTGAGTGCATGTACCCTAGAGCAAAAATTTCTCTAAAAAACAAAAAGCAAAATTAACTATGTCCCATATATTTCAAGTGATTTTATAATAATTTTACAGTTACTTTGAAAAGGTAGTAACTAAAAATCAGAGGAACTAAGACAGCATTTCCCTAAGTATATTCTTTGGACACCATTTCTGTAAGAATATTAATTAATGGTCATTTAAGTTTAAGAAATGATAACTTGGGAGGTTCACAAGTCACATTAATTGAGCTGAACCATTTTCCTATGAAACATCTTGTTTAAATGATTCTAACATTATGATTTTTGTGACTGTAGAACCTTTTGCTTGGAAACTGGTTCATGAACAATTTGTTGGGGAACCCTACTCTAAGCTTTATCAAATGACCTTATATATAGTCAATCATTCATGCAAGTTTAAGCTCAGTGAAAAAAATTATTCACCTTGATTCTTATGTTCTTCAGAGAGAAATGCTGGTATGTTTATTTATAAGGAATGAGGGTCAGATCCATTCCACAACAGACTTTGTTTTCTGTGTGCTAGGTGACACAGCTACCTGCCTAAATTCGGAAAACATGGACTTGGATGAATTATCTTTGTTTGGAAGCCTGCCTGGGCCAGGCCCTGCCCTCATGGACCGGGACCGATTGTCCAGTGAGAGCAGCTTTAAGAGCTGGCCAAGCTCCATGACGGTGGACAGCGAGGACGGCTACCAGACTTGCATGTCGGAGGACTCCAGTAGGGGCGCCTTCAGCCGGCAGACAAGCACGGACGACGAGTGCTTTGTCCCCAAGGATGGCGACGATCTTCTGAGGCGGTCTTCTTCAAGGAGGAACCGCAGTGTCAGTACCGCCAGCAGCGGATCCATGTCTCCCTTGTGGGAGGGCAACTTCTCAAGCATGTTTGGGACCCTGCCCCGGAAGAATAGAAGGGGAAGTGTCCGGAAGCAACTCTTGAAATTCATCCCTGGCCTTCATCGGCCTGTGGAAGAGGAAGAGAGTCGCTTTTGAGGGGTTGTGGTGCCCTTTTTTAATTTCACAGATATCTTTACAGTGCGGCAGAGCGACTCCATCCAGCTTGGTGGGGAAATTCAGATAGACTGTGAAACTGACATACCATTTGACAGCAGAAGTGAGTTATAAGTTTTTATATCATTTTTTTTCCTTAAATCATTTTCCAACCAGAAAAGCTCAAGTTCTAAGCTGACATGAGGGAAATTAAATAATAAGTTAGATAACATAATGAATTAATGCAAATAGCTGCTTATTCTAATGCTACAGTGAAAGCAAGAGTCATATTTATTTTATAGATTATCTTTGTGAAAAATTGAAATTTTTTTGGAGTCAAATGTGAATAGGGAGTGATAGAATATAATTATCTAGTCTAACTTCCATAGGTTAATTGGTCGGTTTTGTAACTTTGTCTGCTTAAGCTCGGTCACCTCTAGGAGGCTTAACCTTAGCCAACTTTGAATGTTCCTGTTCAAATCCCTGAAAGATGATTAATAAAGATGACCATCAGTCTCTTCTCACGCCTGTAGTGACAATACTTCAGAAAGTATAAGATTCAATAGGAGGGATTAAACTAACTCTAGAACCATGGAAAGATGTTGTCTGAGATAGATACTGAGGAAGATTATATTTTTTTAATAAGTGGTCTAAACAAAATTGGTGGGAATGCTATTATTCTTGCCAGATTCAATTTTTATTTTGCTTAAGCATTGATAGCAAGTCTATTTTTCTCAGAATTTTAAATTTTGTAATTATTACTCTTACTGTCTTCGCTACAAATGTCTGAAGTCCAAAAAGTGAGAGGCTGAAAAAGACTCCTTTTGTAGATTTTTTTTTTACATTACTCCTCAATTTATATTACATATTCCAGATAATTATCACCTCAGCATTCTTTTGCCTGTTATGTTGGAATCTCATTACTTCTAGCCTTTCAATTATGCTTTATTCGGTATCCACCAAAGTCTGCTCATTACCAGTATTCTAGAGTAGACAATCTGGGCTATGTAATAATAGTCCTTACTGATTTTAAGCTGCATTGGCATACATATGTGTGTGTGCATATTTGGGAGATATACAGAGGGACGACTTTGAGTGAAACTGAAACACTTAATGTAAACTTCTGACTAATCTAAGTAATGACTCCTTTGAGAAACAAGAGGGTAGGGCAAAGAAGAAAGAAATAATAACATATAAACAAAGTTATAGTTGGGATCTGCTTTCAATTAGTTTTATAAGATCAGGAACATCCATTGGGCTCGGTATAGAGGCATTCAGATGAAGGGCCACAGGTAGAACCCTTCAGGAATGATACAATCTTGTCTACCATTTCCTGAATGCCTTGTAGGCTGAAGGCACTTTGCAGAAGTCCCCACAACAACGCTATAAATGTGTAAGGCACATAGAACAAGAAGGAAGAAGTTGAGAGACAGTCCCATGGTCACAGGGCTAGACAGTGGCAAGGCTGAAAAACACCTGCTCTTTCTGACTTTAGCCTATCCTCTTAGTCTCTGGATTGGCTGGCTCTGTGTGGTTATTACTCTAGTACTTTTTATTCTCCTCAGACAAGAATACTTAAAATGCACAATTGTATATACTATAGAAGCAAGTATACTGTCCTTGGTAAAAAGGAAAACAAGCAGACATTAAAGGTGACTGACTCTCTTGGCTTTCACAATCAAGTTTTGTGATATAAGGACAGGAATACCTGTGTGGGTAGCCCAGCATTTATTTTCAATAAGCGCTTGAAAACCTGTTATGATTCCATTGGTTTTACTCATTTTTCATCATTGTCTAGCATTATCATATCAAAGATCTGCTTAAGTGAATGCAGCATTTCCTGTTAATTCTATTTTTAGAAGTTCAAAGAATAGAAATATCCCATTTATTTGAGGAAAGATAACCTTAAAGTCTTCTACAGTGTGAAAAAAATATTTCAAGAACTTTCACAGGTGATCTGGGAAAGCAGACCACAGTTCATTTGCTTTTCTTGTGGCTTTAACACAGACATATAATACTTCCGTATGACAGTAAACAGCATACGGGAAGGGACAGAACAAGAATCCCTTTAGACTATAATAAGAATTAGAGTCAAGAGTTAGCTATGTTGTGGGAAGAAAGAAAAGCACTTGTTAACTAAGTACAGGAAGGAAGGGTATGTTATGCTTTTTTAGTGTTTATAAGCTGGAAAAAAAAAAAAAAACCCTAGCTTTTGTTTAGTGGAAATGAAAGTCAATTTCTCACAGCAGAGCTTTTCACACTGAGGCTGATTTCAATGGAGCTTAAAAAGAATGATCTGGAACATAGTGGTTGATATTGATGTAATTTATTAGGAAAGTAATTGAAAATATTTTTTGTTTTGCTTTATTTTCCCCCAAAGTTGTCAAATATATAATATCACTGATTACAGTAATTGACAATTTGTTATTAAAATGCATTTTTCAAGAATGGCATTTGATAAACCAAATTTAAATAAAGCATGTTAAGGATTACTTTATCATATGGTTGAAAGAACCAATCCATGTCAAACAGACTGAAAATATATTTTTTGAAAAAAACTTCTATCCATCACTTTCTATTTTTGGATACCTTTATATTTTAGGCACTTAATACAAACTATTAAAATCCCAGTTTCAATCGAAGAAATCAAACTCTGGCATAGTTTTTGTGTATTGATCATAAAGTATAAGTATTTATGAATGTACATAAACTATAAATAACACATAATTGTATTAAGCACTTCAGATCATAAAAGTATTGTTACTTTATGGGTTATAAAATAAAAATATGATACCTTTCTGAAATAAAGAGTGTTGCTTCGCAGTGTCAGTACTTTCTCTGTCCCTTTCTCTTACTCCTTCTCTCTCTAAATGAAGTGACCTGCTTAAAAATACTTTTTAAAGACTGGCTCTTATCACATTTCTTTGAAGCCATTAAAAGTTATTAAAAAAAGATATTACCTAATTAATTGAGGTTTTGCACTTGCAACACTTTCCTATTGCTGTTGAACAAACTTAGAAACTTAAAACATATTTGTTATCTGAAAGTCTCTGTGGGTCAGGAATCCAGGCCCAGGTTAGCTAGATCTGCTCAGGGTCTGTACACTGGCGATCAAGATGTTGCCCAGGGTTGAACCTTGAGAGAGGAATCCACTTTTAAGCTCCTTCTGGTTATTTTCAGGGTCAGGGTTATTTTCTTGTTGCCGTACAACCGCTAGCAGGTTGTTCTTCAAAGCTAGCAACGGAAAGGAAAAGAGAGAGGCTTCCAGCAAGACAGTCTTAATACAATGTATTATCACAGGAATGATATTTCATCTCCTTTGCTGCATAACATAACCATTGGGGTGACTTCCTTTTATCTTCATCATATTCTGTAACATACTCATGAACATGAATGATATCCTGTCACCTTTGACAGGATGGGAGTGACTTCCCATCAACTGTAGCATATTCTGTATGTCAAAAATAAGTCTCAGGTCCAATCCACACTCAAGAAGCATGTACGACACAAAGGCATGACATCAGTCAGTGGAACCAGGAGACCTCCTTATAGTCTACTTACAGTACCCTTCAGGGACTCCACAAATTTGTTAATATAAAGATATTAAGTCTTCAAATCCTTCTGAGCAAAAATAAATCACGAGTTTCATCCTCTTAATTTCTATATTAAAAAAAAGGTAATATTTAAAATACTTCGAAATTTGGGACCAGCAGATGGCGTAGTGGTCGCGTTGCTGGACTCCTACCTGGTCCACTGCAGTTTGAGTTCAGAGCCGCTGGCTTGAAATTCATGGTGGCCGTGTGTGTGTGTGTGTGTGTGTGTGTGTGTGTGTGTGTGAGTGAGCCCAAGATCCCAAGAGGAGAATAGAAGAGACAGAATTACAGTGTGACCATCCCCTCTGGGGGGGTGAGGGGGTGATTTCTTACCTTCACCTCACTGTCTCTTCCTCTCTTTCCAGTGAGCATGCACAACTGAAGGCAAAAACCTCTTTAAAAACAATAGCCAACCCCTTCCCAAACACACACACACACACACACACACACACACAAAACCCAAAAAACCAAACCTTTGGAATTAAAGAACTTGGCCAAGTTTGTATAACTAGTGAAAATGCTGAGTAGGAAACAGAATCTGGGTCTACTATTGACCTCCTAACTTTGTCTCTTAGCTGCATGGAATGGCAGGAGATCTTTTTTTAAAATTTTAAAATTTTGTTTTATTTTTATTATTTTATTATTTGAGATCCTAAAATAATATTAAAGCATAAATAAATTAATTACTTGCTTTGAAATTCCACACAGGGAATCTGAATATCTTTAAGTAAATTCAGCGACTGACATACTGAACTTTGACACGTCTATGCAGGTGTATCTTCTTTCTTTATTATTATTTTTCTTTATTAAGGACAGAATATTTGTGTGCAATAAAGAGCGAGAGAGAGAGAAAGAAAGAGAGGAGCCCCCTCCACAGAGTCTGATCATATAACCCCTTCCTCCTGTCCTCCAGTCAATTGGATCACAGGCTCTTGTGAATATGCCCACTGTTTTGAACTGACCAGGCTGGGGATCTGAACCACAATTGCCATGTGGAATCCTTGAGCAGCACATTACTTTTGCACCATAGAGCTGGGCTGAAATGTGAATCTTTATGAACAGAGGTCAGGAGGAATTCCTCAGGAGAATAAACACAATACTCATTATCAAAATCATATAGCACAAAATAAAATGATCAACCATAAGCAAAGGTTTGGGAATACTATGAACAAAATGATCCCAACTTGAGGAAATAACAGTTGGAAAGAATGTTAACATGTATATATGTTAGGAATAGAAGATAACAACCTCAACTTGATAAAGAACATACAATAAAAAAATCTGTAGCTATTATCATAATGGTAGTAAACAGGATGTTTTCTTCCTAAGATGCGATATGAAACAAAGATTTCTATCACTACTCCTATCTGACATTGTACTGAAAATTCTAACTAGTGCAATCAGTCAAGGAGAGGATATAAAAGGTAGGCAAATTGGAAAGGAAGAGAAGAAACTGCCTTCATGAATAATTTGTTGTCTGTGCAAAATTCCATACCATAAAAATACAAGAAAAATTTCTGAAATTAATAAGAGAGTATAGCAAGGTTACAGGATACTTGATTAATACACGAAAGCCAATTATATTTCCATGCAACAGCAATGAGCAATTGGATTTTGCAATTTAAAAAATAATGTATTTATAAAGAGCACCAAAAAATTAAATACTTAGGTATAACTCAAACAAAATGTTTCTATGATCTCTGTGAGAAACTTTAAAACTCCAATTAACGAAATCAAGGAAAATTAAATAAATAGATAGATATTCTGTATTCATGGGTTAAAAGACTAAAAGATTTGTTATATCAGTTTCATTCAACTAGTTCTGTAGATTTAGTGCAATCCTAATCAAAATTCCAGCCAGAAAAGAATTTGTAGAGGCCTCCAAAATCTCTGGTCTGTCTCACTGTTGGAGGTCTTCTCCTGTGTGATGTCATTCTGTGAAAACTGGGAGAAGTATTTGCTTTGCCTAATGTCCAGACACAATTACAAAGAGTCAAGTGAAACTAAGAATGAAAAAGAAATATTTCAAAGAAACAAGGCAGTTCTCCAGAAATTGACTCCAATAAAATGGAGTCGTACGATTTATCTGACAGAAAACTAAAAACAACTCTCTCATAAGATGCTCACCAGGTCAAAACAATAATGCATGAACAAAGTGAAAATTGTAACATAGATATAGAAAGTACTGGAATATACCAAATACAAACTATCGAGCTGAAGAATACAATAACAACTGAAAAATTAGCAAAAAATATTCAGCAGCAGACAAGATTAAGGAGAAAGATAGACCAGCAACTTGAAGACAGATCACTAGAAATTATCTGGTCAAATGAACAACAACAAAAAAGAATAGAGAAGAAAGCTTAAGACACTTACAGATCACCACCAAGTAGATCAATATGGACATTATGGAAGTTCCAGAAAGACAACAGAGAAAAAAGAAAGAAAGTTTATTTTGAGGGGGCCAGCAGATTGTGTGGTAGTTAGAGCACTGGACTCCCATGTGACCAAATGCAGTTCAAACGCAGTCTCGGACCTGGTGGCTGGCTTTTTCACTTTATTTGCTCTGTCTCTGTCTTTCTCTTGCTCCCCACTGTGCACATGTGCCCTGTACAAATTAAAATCATAATAAATAAAAGTAAATACTTCTTTTTTAAAAAGAGAAATAATAGCTGAAAACTTCCCAAAATTAGAGAAAGAAATGCACATCCCGGCCCAAAAGCTCAGAAGATGTCATGAAAATAAATTAACCAAAAAAAGTCCAAACTGAAATACATTACAAATTGCCAAAAGTCCAAGACAATGAGAAGTCTGAAAGCGGAAAGAGAAAAAGTACATGTTATAATATATTATATGTAAGGAAACTTTTTTTTAAAAATGTTTTTGCTCTAGGGCACCCACCAGAAAGGGAGAACAGAAGAGAGAGAAGAGAGAAAGTGAGAAATAACCTCCCGGGGGGAAGGGGGGGATGGCCATGCTGCAATCCTTCTTTTTGGAATTTTGGACACACATTCATGATTTTCAGAATGCTGAGTTTGGGACTCCAACTGTGCAACCTCCATGCTAGCTGCTGACCCTACAAGGAAACTTTCATAAGACTACCAGCAGCTTTTTCTAGCAAAAACCTTGTCAGAAAGAAGAGAGATCATGAATTCAAAATGCTGAGAGGCAAAAGTGCAACCAATAATCCCTACCTGGAAAAATTCTTCTTCAAAAATAAAAGAGAAATTGGGGACCAGCAGGTGGTGAAGTTTTAAGGCGCTGGACACTCCCACATGGCCGACCCTGGTTTGCG